CGTATGAGTTCGAAGGCCATCACTAGTGTAAGGGTAACAGGTAAAGCCAGAGCTCCTTCTTCTCAGGGCATTGTGTATCTTAAAATGTCTAACCCAAACCCTTTAAATTGATCCGTCTTGTTCCACTAACTGCCTTCCTATATTCCTACAGAAAAACATGAACTATTTTCTGATTCTGCTGAAACATATTTAGGCCTTAAAAGTTGTATTCTTTTGGTAGCATTCACTTTTTCCTGATTTTTCCCAAGTTGCCCATCTTTTCCCAGGTGCCCTTCTCCAGAGCAGGGCTGTTCCCAGTACAGGCGGCCGTGGCCTGGGGTGGCAGCTGACCCGATGGTACCTTTCCTCTTTTATCTCCTCTGCCTCAGCAGCTCCCATAAAGGATGGCACATGTCCTTCCACAGGAACTGCTACAGGAGCCAGCCAGGGCTGCAGAAGGACATTTTTTTGGGTCTAACTATGTATTTTAGATCTGTGCCAGCCCATACTGAGAGCTCACCCCTATTTCCTCTGCAGCAGTGCACGTGGCCGAAGATTACTGCTCTCCTACACAGTAAACAGCCTCCTGAATTCAATGTTTCAAGATAAAACACTTCTGAGCAGTATTTTATCACAGTTTGAGTCCTAGCTTTTTTTCCCTGAAGGGCACAGCTAGATTCCAAACTGGTTTTCTCCCTCACCGCTGTCTCCGCACTCCCAGTTTGAAATGTCTGCAGTGAATCTCCTGAATCACAGAATCACAGTGTGATACTGGGTTGGAAGGGACCTCTGGAGACCACCCAGTCCAACCCCCGCCAGAGCAGGGTCACCCAGAGCAGGTCCCACAGGAACGTGTCCAGGTGGGTTCTGAATTTCTCCAGAGAAGGAGACCCCACCACCTCCCTGGGCAGCCTCTGCCAGGGCTCTGCCACCCTCACAGGAAAGAAGTTGCTCCTCATGTTGAGATAGAACTTCCCCTGTTCCAGTTTGTGCCCATTCCCTCTTGTCCTGTCCCTGGGCACCACTGAGAAAAGCCTGGCCCCATCCTCCTGACACCCACCCTTTCAGTATTTATAGGCGTTGATCAGATCCCCCCTCAGTCTGCTCTTCTCCAAGGTAAAAAGACCCAAGTCCCTCAGCCTTTCCTCATCAGAGAGATGCTCCAGGCCCCTCAGCATCTCTGTAGCCCTCCGCTGTACCCTCTCCAGCAGTTCCCTGTCCTTCTTAAACTGGGGAGCCCAGAACTGGTCCCAGTGCTCCGGATGGGGCCTAAAAAGCCTCTCACTATTTTTCAGAAAAGCCGTTTTTGAAACCAGTGATTTGTTCTCTTTTTTCCCCTCAGTTTTCAAGCAGTTAACACACAGTTTCAGACGTGGGTTAACAAAGGCAGGGAATAAGGGGGGGGAAAAACTATCTCTGGCAGGAAAACCACCCTGACACTGTGCTCCTGGCTTCTGTGAGCGAGGGGCGGCCGGAGGGGAGGCAGGTTGCGCAAGGCCCAGGCCTTTCCCCGACGGAGCCGGCAGCAGGGCCGGGCAGGCTGGCGTGTTTTTCCTTTTTCCCTGCTGCTCCACAACCTTTCACCTACTTGGGCCGCTCCGGCCGCGCTGGGAGCCCTCGGCAGCTCCCGCGGCACGTGGAAAGACGAGAACAGGGAGATATGACCCCTGTTTGTAATGCTATTTCTGTCCTCTTTTTTTTTTTTTTTTCCATGCGAAGGGAGACATAAATATTGAGCAAACAAAAGTGCTAGTAGATTAAAGTATCGACCCAAATAAATAAAGGCAGAGCCACCTGAGCTGTGCCCAGGGTACTGCTGGAAACACCACCGAGTGCTGCCAACACACCTCTTCAAGCCCCTCAGTCACCAGAACATTCCTTCCCCTTGCACTCAAAACTTTGCTGTGCTATCATTAATTTCCACCCGGATTTAATGTAGAATCATAGAATCACCGGTTTGGGTTGGAAGGGAGCTTAAAGATCATCCAGGTGCCACCCCCTGCCCTGGGCAGGGACACCTCCCACCACACCAGGTTGCTCCAAGCCCCCTCCAACCTGCCCTTGAACCCCTCCAGGGATGGGGCAGCCACAGCTTCTCTGGCCAACCTGGGCCAGGCTCTCACCACCCTCACACCAAACAAGTTCTTCCCCACATCTCAGCTCCATCTCCCTTCTTTCAGTGTCAAACCCTTCCTGGCCAGCCAGGAACACAGCTCTGCCCGAAGGACACTACGGTGTGTCTCCGGCCACAGGGAGGTCCTGAGGAACATCGAGGAGGGAGACAGCTGATTGTGAGGGATTTGGGGGAGAATGTGAGCACTTGGGGCAGAAATGGAGAGGAATCTGGGTTTCGTTTATTCCACTCTCCCGGACCCAGCTGTTGGGCAAAAAAGCATAATGTTATCACAGCTCCATTTTCCCAAGGACTGACACCAAAACTTTGCTATGACTGAGGAAATGAAAGCCTTGCTACTCCCTCTTCAAAACTTGTTCTTGTAGAAGTTTGTTTTGATTTGAAAAGCATCCAGGAGTCACTGGAGCCTTGCCCTGTTAATAACCAGGGAAGGCAACACGCTTCCTATATTTCCTGCAATTACCATGGTACTGTTTGTTCAGAGCTCAACCGAACACAGACTCTTGTCCATCCCTTACTGCATATATCTACCAGGAAAACTATAAGAAAACAAGTTGCTGTAAAGAAAAGGAATGTAAACAAGAGGGATTACTGCTAGTAGACTTTTTCCCTATGCAGAACAGAATACGTAAAATGACTACTGTACAAGGTTTTTCAACTTACTCACATTAATCAGGGTCAGCACAGCAGCAGATTAAAATGAATTATCTCAATAAGAACAGAAATAGTGACCTTATAAATTAGAATAATGGCCTTGTGTGGAGGGCTTTCTTGGCTCAGATTTTATTGCAAAGTGTCACTCCTGAGATTCTTGCTTGCCACTGATTAGTGGCTTCAGGAAGAACATGAAACAAAACAAAATCTACCCTACACGTGCTCCGTAATTTAAACAACTTTGTATGATATTTTTACTTCCATGAGTCATCTGCAACTTGCAGGCAAACAAAGCCAAAAGAGTTAAAAGCAAACCCCAACATCTATTCTCAAATTTGCAGCCTCTGGCAAGCGCAGGAGAAATCAAACTGGTTACATTGGTCATTATTAGATGTCTTCATTTTGCTTCATTTCATATCTCATACGCCAACATTCAATCATGGTGGTAAAACGTAATATATCCGATGGAACAAAAACAGAGTAATTCTCTCAATAAAATAATAAAACGGGGAGCAATAAAATAATAAACCAGAAAGTACAGTGGGAATAGAACGGTAAGCAGGGATAACAGATATGACTAGGGAGACAAGAATGACATAAAGTTCAAGAAAATAACTAGTGACAAGCTAAAGTGTTCTCCTCAGCATATTAAAGATTAAAATATGAGTTTGTTAAGAATGTACCTTCCTCCCCATTAAAAAGAGCTGATTCGTTTATGTGTGTACACATACAAAACCCAGATTGAGGAATTATATACAAGTATTAAGGCCATATTTTTTGGTATCGTCATCTTATTGCTGTGCGGTCCTGCTGTTCTGACCCAAGACTTAGGGTGCTGGAAAGGCCTTTGCTGAGGTGACCCCCATTTTTCCACGCTCTACACAAACCCTGACTTTAGGGAAGCGGCCTGGGTGCCCCGGGAAGGAGCCGGGCAGCCCTGGGGAGCTGCCCTCCCCGTCGGGGGGCAGAGGAGAAGAAGCGCAGACCTCTCCCTGGAAGAGCAGCTCTGTGGGTCACCCCGGGGGGCAGCTCTGGGGAGAGTCACCAAGGGCCACACGGCCATTTGGGACGGGTGCATCACCGGACCAGCTGTCTGGGGGTATTTGGCTACCACTAATCCAGGTCACAGCAACCACCTACGTGTCAAGCACCATGAACCCAATGGCCAAGACCCAATTCTGCTCCCTTTCCTCCCCCCCACCTCCGCACCGACCCCCCCAGCGATTCCACCGCACCCAGCACCACCGCGTCCCCTCGGGGTGGCCACCACAGCGGGCCCCCACGGCCTCCACCGGCCACCAGTCACCGCCGGGCGGTCGCCACAGCCCCGGGGACACCCCGCGGGTTGCCCCTAGAACTCCAGTTCCGCGCCCTCCCGCCCCGTTTCCCTCAGGGGGAAGAGCCGGGCACCCATGGATCCTGGCAAGGTCGCCCCGCCGCTGACATTGCCCGGTAAACAAGATCACGGGAGGCGGCGCAGGGCCAGCACCCCCCCCGTAACACACCCCCCCCTCCGGGGCTGGCGACCCGACAGGGACAACGGAGGGGGGGAAGGGGGGGGGGAAGATACTGGGGGGGACACACGAAAGCGGGAGCCCCGCCAACGGCTG